GGTAAGGCAAGCAGGAGGTCTGTGGGACCACTGTGCTGTGCTGTTAGCAGCCTCGGAGAGGATCCCAGTCTCCCTCCCTCCCCCAGAGAGGCTGGGCGGGGCAGTGACTGGGGCGGGCAGGCTGTTGATCCAGCCCAACAATGATGAAACAGCCCCTTTGTCCTGCGGCGCCAAAGTTGCTGTGACTGGAGGAGGCGGACGTGAAAGGGTCATTGTTCCCACTTGGGCAGCCACTCAGGGAGCTGGAGGACCGGCCCAGAGCAGGCTTCCTGCCAGGCTGCAACCCTAGCCTCTGCCTGCGCCTGTTCTGAGGGCTGTCCTGGGCTCTCAGCGTCCCACTCGGGGCCAGCCCTGGCACAAGTCCCCTCTACCGCCACCATGGTGTCCCCTCCATCCCTGAGCTGCCTTCTCTACCCTGTGCCTCATGCAGTCTGAAGTTGTGCGTGAGCAGGGCTGGACTGCTCTTGTAGGGAGATCCTTTGTGGGGGCCAAAGGTACCAATCACAATCATATCCCTGGGCTGTGGCCTCAAGAACATCTTCTTCCCACCCTGGCAGCCCCAGGTGAAGCAGCTGCAGCTGACCTGCTGAGACCCAGGCTAGATCTCTCTGTCCACCAGCGCCCAGGCCAAATGGTCCTCTCTGGAGACCTTAGGCCCCTTCTCCCAGCCCCCCAGCCCTCTCCAGCCCCTCTGGCCCACACTCTGCTGGGAACTTTCTAAAACTCCAACTGAATCAGACCCTTTCAGCGTCACACCTGGGCAGTCATGGCCAGGGGGAGCTGATGTTCTCGTGCTGGCCCTCAAAGTCCTCCCTGCACTGCCGACCTGCTGTGGAATAGGCTTCCATCTCTCCATGACAGCCTCCGTCCTGCTCTTCTGTGAGTCTGGTTCTCTCTCCAGCCACATTGTCCCCCATCTTCCCTTTACAACTGCCCTGGGCCTCTGGGGCTCAGGAGTGGTTGGTCTTGGCCGCAGCTGGGTGATCGGCTGGCTGGAGTGCCCAGAAGCATCCCCTGCCTCTCCTGGGGTCCCCCTCCTTTCCTCCTGGGAGCAGGCAGCAGGTTCAGCTTGACCTTGGCTGGTCAAAGCATGCCCCAGCCCAGAGGAGGCACTGGTTCTCTTTTCCCAGGAGGGATGGAGCTAATTAACCGAAAGGGTTTAATTAATCAATTAGCGTGGCCTCCAGACCCCTCCACTTAGCCCGGGTAGTGGCAGATCTTTCTAAACAGACCCGTCTCTGGCTGGAACCCAGCCGAGAGGAGCCAGGCAAGCCGGGTGGGCGTAGAGGCGGCCAGGAGAGCAGCCAAGGCCGGAGACCCACAGAGGAACTCAGCCCTGCTAAACTCCCCAGGCCTGGGCAGGTGCTCAATCAGTGTTACCTGGACCCAGAAGGAGACCCAGGGGACAAGCCCTCCATGGAGTAGAGTTACACGGGTCACATAGGTCTGAGCCCAGAGCTGAGCAGGCCCCCAGAGCTGCTACAGAACTGTGGCCAGAGGTGCTGATGGTACCCAGCTGAATCTAGTACCCTGGCCAGCAGGGACTCCAGGGGGAGACCCCAGAACCTCAGCTAGGGAAGGAAGCAAGGGAAGATTTCGTGGAGGAAGAGGCATTTAACAAGGAAATTCCTCTTCCCCCAGGAAAGAGGAGACAGAGGAGGTGGGGGTGGGAGTGTGGGAAGAGCAGTCCCAAGGTTCCTGAGGCTTGAAACAAGCACAGCGGAAGATGAACACGCTGAGAAGCCTCCGGACGTGGCTCCTGCATGCTCCGGGCCAGCCCCGACCCTGTATTGGCCTCCCCTGCACCCCCAACCCCTGCCCAGCCCAGGTCACTCCTGCATCTCAAACTCTTCCAGAAGGGGACTCTGGATCCCTTCTCCTCAGCTCCCTGATTTCCCAGGTGGCACAGGGGTTGGGGCATGGTCAAAGACCCAATGAAAGCAGGGGCTTCTGTATCAGCAGATCGGGCTAATACAGTACCTCTCTCTGAAGGCTGCCAGGAGGAATGTATGAATTTATCTGCACCCCTGCGGAAGTCTCTTGCCATTGCCATTGCACTTGCTGCAGTTGGCCCAACTCTCAGGCAGGAGCAGGCAGGAGGGCAGGGTGCTCAGCCCAGTGACACATGGCTGCTCTTCCTCAGCCACAGGAGGAAGCAAACAGGAGAGGCAAAGGAGCCTTGTCTCCTCTTAGCAGCCATGTGCTGCCCCCAGATATGTCACGTGTGGGATAGGAGATCCCACCCCAGACACCCCAGGCCAGAGGAGAGAAGGAAACCATACGGGCTGAGCCCCAATGCAGGGCTTGGTAGCTTCTGAGGCTGCCCTGAGGTCACAGGGTCACATGCAGGCATGGAGGGGATTGATGGAGACCCCACACAGGCCACACGGTACGAGGTGCTCCAGAAGTAGATAGCCCTAGCAGGTGGGGTGACAGTTGGCTGTCCATCCTGGCACAGAGGGGTTTTGAGTGATGTTAGAGCCCTCTGACACCTGTTGGGGCTCCCCTGGTCCAGGCCGAGACCTTGGGCCTGAGGCCAGCAGTTGCCAGTGATGGGCTCTGGTGGCTGATGACATCAACCAGGACACACCCTGAGGAGGGGAGGTTGGAGTCAGAGGCAGGTGGCTCCTCAATTGGTAATGGGACCTGCTTGGGCTTGTCCAGTCTGGGAACCAAGGGGGTGGTATGTGTGTGTGTGTGTGTGTGTGTGTGTGTGTGGTTCCCAGAGAGCCAGAGGGGACCAGCTCCCAGGCCAATGGAGGAGGCAGGGCCAGGGCCTGGGACAGATTCAGGGCTGCGAGGTGGCCTGGCTTCTCTCCTGACTGGCTCTACAACACCCTGCTGGCATCCTCTTTCGTGTTACTTGCATAAGGTGAGGGAGGTCAGGATGAGTCTGGGCCTTCCCAGCGTCTCGTCTTGGGTGTGTTGGGTGTCAGGCTTTGGATGGACAAAAGCCATCCTAGGAAGCCTCTAACATGGGGCTCAAGGGGACGTGGCTGGGGCAGGGGAGCCCAGGGCAAACCAGAGGAATGGAGTTCAAGAACAACAGGAGTTCAAGACCAACAGGACCCAAGCAGTCCCTGAACCAGGCCACTCAGAGGACAGTGTGTGCCCTATAGAGCCACCTGGTTCCCCAGAGGGCCTCCTGGCATGCACTGAGGGCTGGAGGCTGGGCTTGGGCGTCCCTGACCCACGTACAGACACGCAACTGGCCCGAGTGTGCTAAACAGCGGCTGTGGCCTGATCCATTCATGACATTCTCCCTCAGGGGGCAGAGGCGGAGGGGTAGGGAGTAGGGCAGCAGTATGGGAGTGCCATCCCTCCCCCAGTCTCAGAGCACAACCATCCTAGGGAAATGCTGTCTTTTCTGGTCTCCTGATCAGACCTCCTGCAAGTGACCGGAAGTTCTGCTTGGTGTCAAGCATTAGTCACTCCCACTTTTGCACCTGATTCAGGTATAAGAGGACAAATTGAGGCCCCATGACCCTGCCACTCAGCCTAACATCACTAAACTTTCCCTCAGGCATGTCCCCTACTCCAGGGCCTGCCCAACCCGCACAGGAAATGACTGTTGGATGAATGTGCCAATGAGTAAGTGACCTGGCTCCTCCTCCCAGGAGGACATGAAAAACATGGCTAAGACATGAGAGGATCCTTGGGCCTGGGGATACAAACAGGGACGCAGGAGGCAGATGAGGGTCAGGACAGTGAAGGGCAGAGCAGAGTGGAGATAAAGAAGATGCTGCCTGGGGAGGTGGCTGGCAGGACTCAGTCTAGGATGACCTGCAATGGGCTGAATGCCTGGCAAAGGACAGACAGCCCAGAATGGAAGCCTGGATCAAGGCAAGGGAGCCAGGCAACCATGAGGGGCAATGGCCCAGCCCAAGGTCCATGGATGAGGATTGGGGGAGTTCCAGTCACTCAGCTGACATGTGCCCCACTGCTCACCCCACTGCTGCTGCCCAGCCTCTGGCAGGGTCTCATTGCCAGGCACGGCACCAAGACGGCAATCTCTACAGAGCCCACTGAGTTTGGGCTGCATGGGAGTGCCAAGTGCCGGGCCCGGCTGCCTTCCTGAGCCCCAGTCTGGAGGAGTTGGCTCAGGAGGCGGCTGCTCTCCCATCCTGTCCTGTACTTGGGCACGCCGGCACTGCCAGGCACGCACCCGGCCATCAAGGGCCTGCCCCCAGCCCAGCCCCCGCGGGCTTCCCTGGGCCTGGGTGAGGGCAGCAAGAGGGAACAAAGGCCCAGTCTCTGTCCTCAAGGGCTCCCACCCCTTTGCCTGGCTCTGGCACAGAAGGTCCAGGCCCTGAGGAAGCCCAGAGCAAGAGCAGTGCCCACCACTTTGCCATGGCTACCACTGCAAGAAGCCTGCTCTCCCGCCACACCCTTCCCCGCCATGGGCCTGCTGCCTGGACAGCAATACCTTGGCTCCCAAGAAGGGGACAAGTGGGACTCTGAGCCAGGGCCTGTGATGGCAGAACCAGAGAGGCAAGGACATAGATCCTTAAGCTTCCTGGGCAGCCCCATGGCTGAAGGGTTGGGGAGACCCTGGGAAGGTTGCTGCCTTTACCCTTGAGGCCTGCCAGACTGTGTCCTGCTGGGCTCAGCTCCATATTGATCCTGCAATCTGCTTAAGGGAAAGCTGGGGAGGGCAGAAATGGGGAAACTGAGTCAGCCTGGCACACTGCAGCCAAAGGTAATGAGATAGCACACAAGTGACATGGGACTGCCCCATTCCCCAGAAAGCTTGTTTCTCTACACCGTGCATACCGTTCTTCTCCAACCCGGGGGAACCTGCAGAGGCCTGAGCGCCAGCCCATGGCCCACCCTGCCAGACCACAGCAGGCCAGGCACCAGCCCCCATGTGGCAGAGACAGACACTTTAGCCTCGTCCTTGGCCATACCCTCCTCCAAACTGCAGGGTACTAAGGACCAGGCAAGTGCCAAGCAGCACCAGAAGGGCCCCTCTCCTCACCTCCCCAGACACCATGACTCACTTTACAGAAAAAATAATATTTATTTGCAATATAAACAAACTCCCGTTGCTGGCTCGGGAGTTATATATGTCCATGTGAGTGTATACATATGTAGGGTCACAAATCTTCCTTCATTCGGTCACAAAGCAAAGCTGGCCACCCTTGGCACACCCTCACTGACACAAATCTGATGCATCGTCCTGGGTTTGTCTTGTTAAAAATTAAAAAGAGAGAACCATGTACGGCGTGGGAGCTTTTGGTCAATTTCTCGACTGTGGCAAGATTTGAACCTGCTGCCCGAGAGCATCCCTGAAGAGCACCCCTGTGAGGTAAGATGCGGTGGGGGTGCAGTTTCCGTGGCCTCGCTCCCGCCCTGCCCCTGGCCCCCATACGGTCCTGACGCCTGGTGGGACTGAGGGGGAAGAAGGAACAAAACTGGAGGTGGTTAACGGAATCCGTGGCTTGGTTTCTGGGGATGCTGGGGTGGGGCAGACATGGCCTCCTGCCCCTTCCATGTGGCTGTTCTCGCCCTGCATGCCCCTGCCCTGGGGTTGAAATGGGTGTGAAGTTTCCTGGTGGCAGATGGCATGGGCAAGGTTAACAGCCAGGTATGCGTGCGGGGGAGGTGGCATGAGTGAGCAGGAGATGCCAGGTGGCCCAGCGCAATGGCCAGGGCAAGGGGCAGAGCTTGAGAGGCCGAGCCCCCATGCCCGGAGCACCTCTATTCCCCCTACAGAGCTGGAGAGGAGGGCGCAAGAGTGGAGGACATGCACAGAAGAGGGTCCTGGGCTCAAGCTCCCAAGAGCTGAGCCCAGAGCGTTAATGCTACTGCTTGGCAGTCCCCCAGGGTGCCACCTCCACCAAACCAGCAGCAGGGTCCCCCCCACCCCTTCCTCTGCCCCTTCTGCTTCGGGCAGGTCTACAAGGACCACCAGAGGGGCAGATGGGAGGGTGGAGTACCAGCTGTGAACCCAGGAGCAGGCCATCAACTACTGTGGTCATCACAGGCCAGCAAGGTGCAGCGCTGACCTGGGTCAGGGGCGGAAGATAGCATGACTTAGGGTAGAGGGTGGGCATGTTCCGGCACCCAGAGAGCAGCGAGCTACCCCTTCAAGAAGGGTCTGCTGATGAAACAGAGGTTTCACACATGTGCAAAATGCATTTGGTCAAGATCTACACAGGGCCGGGATTGGTATCTGTCTTTTCCATTGGAAAACCAAAACGGAACACACTGATAATGCTTTTTTTTGAACTGGGAAGAACAAAACTGAGAATGCGTCTCATGCGCGCGGGATCAAGAAAGGGCTGAAACACTGGTTAATACAATCCACGGTTGCGTGGAGCCTGAAAATAATACTTTTCGTTTAAAAACTTTTTTCAGAAGAGCGTGCACACTCTCTGTGTTTGGGGCAGGGTTCGGATTCCCACACCTTAAGAACAGGGCACACTTGGGTCCATAGGTGCGCTTTTGAAAAAGGAGCCACATTGGCCAAGGCTGCCGGCACAAAGGTGTCCTGGGCCCCAAGGCCTGTGTCTGAGTAAGTCTTGCGAGAGCGGCCTCGCCTGCGGGCCAGAGGGGGAGGCACGAGGGGAGCTCAGCACCCCCGCTTGGGCCTGGACCTGGGGAACAGGTGCCAACCAAGGGGTCCTTGGGCGGGGAGGGATGCAGAACATGGCACTGTGTCCACCTCCGGGCACCCTGCCTCACGTGGACTCCAGCGTGTTGAGCGGGAACAGGTTGCGGTTGGTGGGCGTGGAGAAGTACAGCTGCTCATTGGACGCGTGGTTGTCGCACGGGCTGCTCAGCCCCAGCGTCCGCTCAAAGTCCAGCAGCTGCCCCATGAAGTTGAAGTTGGGCGAGATGTTTGATTTTTTCCTCTTGACGAAGTCATAGGCGTCGTTGAGTGACAGGTTCATTTTCTGCATCAGGTAGGCCACGGTGACCGTCACCGAGCGGCTAATGCCTGCCAGGCAGTGCACCAGGACGCCACACTTCTTGGAGCGGGCTTCATCTGAAACACATGGGCACCAGTCAGCCAGCAGCCATCCCCTGTGGCTGTCCAACACAAGGCACCCGGCCTATCTGGCGCAGTGACTCAGAGCTACGCACAGAGCTGTCATGCTTGTGTCCTCAGTTACTGGCCAGGCCCATGCCTCAGTGTCCCCATCTATAGAATGGGCCTCTCAATACGAGCCACTGACAGTCTGTCGACCTATCCTACTGCTGGTGGTGCTGTGGCTGCCTAAAAGGTAGTTTACACCCCCGGCGCCGTCAGCCCAAGGCCACCCGGCAGCTCCTGTGGTTGTAGCTTCTGCTGCTGCCAGGCAGTGACCTGATGGGTGGAGCCAGATCTTTTCTCTTGGTGCAGCTCCTAAGGGTACTACTCCCAGAGTATCCTGGGAAGTGGGCTGAGGGAGGTTCCTCTGGCAGGAAGTGGCTGGCTTGGCCCAGCCCTACCAGTCCCCAAGGCCTTAGAGACCCAGGGGTTGGATGATAGCTATGCCCAATACATCACAGGTGGACATCACCTGAGTGGGCTCACCTAGCCCAGTAGACCCTCCCCGACAGATTCACGTGCCAGGACATTTCCCCACCATGGCCAGGTTGCCCAGTGTCCTTGGGGCTACCTCAGGTGTCACATAGGGAACCCCCCACCCCCAGCTGGTTTAGGGAGCCCGACACATGGTGGGTGCTTGGTCAGTGCTTGCCTGCAAGGTGATACACAGGTCCCCCAGTTCTTCAGAGCTTGCCCTTCCTTCATGAGCTACGGGTGGCTAAGGATGCCAGGACCCCAACTCAAGGACTAGCAGAGCCAATCCAGGGATAGGACCAGGGAGACAGGCCCAGAAGGGTGAGAGGCAGCTGCTGCAGCTTGCTGCGGGGCCATGTGTGAGGTCTGTGAGATTTGGGGTGACACAGGAAGGTGTGGACTGTGCGGGCTCCCAAACACACTCTGGGGTGACCCAGAACACAACTGTTTCTGGTTTTTACTTTTCGCCCTCTTAAGTGTGTCTTGTGCTAAAGGCTATCCCTCAGTCCTGTGGTCTCCATGGACCCCAATTCCTTCACGGCCTAAGTGGGAAAAAGGAACCTCCCACCCCAGCACCCCACATCCTGTTCTGTCCTCCCTTTCAAGAAAGACAAAGCCAGGCTCAACCCTGAGGAATTAGAGGTCCCATCCATAGCACCTCCCACCCCAAGACCCCTGGGGCTTCAGGGCTGGGAAGCTCCTGGCAGCCCCTCCTCCAGGCCTCAGCTTCCTTCCTTCCTCCCTCTCAGCCAGGCACCTAGTTTTGGTTCCCAGTAAGCGGATAGGGGAGGGCGGGGGTGGGCGCAGCCTCCCCACTTCCTGTTATTAACGCTAGCCCAGCCCAGCTGACACCACACGCCCTTTGCTGGACACAACTGCCCCTAGGGGAAAAAAAAGACAGTCCAGTCCCCCCACCCCTGCCCTGGGGAGGCTAGGCACAAACACTGGGTGGGCCAGACTTGCTAGAGCTGACCACCCTCCAGAAAACCAAGGCCACGGGCAGGATCTGACAAGGAGGCCTTTCAGCCTTTCCCTGCTTCTCTGAACACCCCCACAGCCTGCCCTGAACCCCACACCTCCATCCTGGGCACCCAGCACCACCAGACTCCAAGGGGCTGTCAGGGCTGGGTGGGCCTCTCACCCCTTTAGCCTTCCAGGAGGTTCTGTGACAACCCAGCCCTGGAGAGACACATGTGCTGGGGCATGAGACACAGTGAGCGAGTGAGCCTGTGGGAGGGTTGTAAGTGGGGGTGTTTTGGCTTTATATGCCCGGAACAGCAGCAAAGTTGGGAAAACAACAGTTGGAGAGCAGACAGCCCTAGAGATGCCGACAGCAGGGTGGGGGAAGCCTGGAACCTGGGGGACTCTCAGGCCCTGACAGGTCGAGGTCTGAGGGACTCGATGACTCACAGCAGGCATGGGTACACCCACGGGCACATGCTGGCACACGCAAGGCACACACAAGCCCTGACAGGCCCAGAGGGACCCGGCTGGGTGCAGGCGACACCCCCAAGGCCTGGCACACCCCTCACCGTGCCTGCCCAGCCCAGCCCAGCCCAGCCCAGTTGAGTGGCAAGCGACAACACCTACCGATGAAGCTGATGGCCTCGGGGAAGAACTGGGAGAGGTTCTGGCTCCAGTGGTCAGAGATGGGGATCTGCTTGTAGGTGAACTCGCCACCATGCTCAAAGGCGTTAGGCAGGTTGGGTGTGACGTTGAGGATGTACTTGATGCCATATTTGCCCAGCACGTCCAGGTTGGTGGAGTCCTTAGCGCAGCCGAGGTAGAGGTAGGGCAGGATCTGCACGGGGAAGGCCGGCTGGCTGGATGGCACAGGGCTGCCGTCTGACTCGGTAGCGCTGCTGGGCAGCTCCCGGTCCGACTCGCCATCCGAGCAATCAGAGCTGATGCGCAGGCCGCCCAGGCCCAGCACCGAGGTGGGTGGCGAGCTGCTGGGTGAGGACGAGCTGTCCACGTGTGTCTCGCAGTGCTCCGAGTACTCCGTCTGGAACTTGTTGAAACCACCTGCGGCCAGTGAGTAGCGGCTGCTCAGGCTCTGAACTGGCTGCCTAAGGCCCAGCTGAGGCTGTGACAGCAGCTGTCACCACGGGCCATGCTCGGCCTGCTCCCCATGGTCCCACTTCTGCCTTCACTCCATCTATGTCATGCCCGCTTTGCAGATGAGGACACTGAGGCAGCCCTGGGAGGTGCAGCCACATGTCTGAGCTCTGGCTTCTTCCCAGAGGTTTCAGGGCCCTTGGCCACACAGCACCAGCTGCAGGCCACCTAAGGACATGCCCTCAAAGCTCATTGCTGCTCTGTGGCTCCCTGCACACATCAGGCACCCATGGGTGCTAAGTGGTAAAGCAAGGCAGATGAGGGCACCCACATCTCAGCATGGCAACTGTGGGTACCCAAACCTTTCCTACAGTTAACACCACGGGCCTCAGCTGCACAGAGGAATCAAGCTAAGGGGCACACAGGCCTGGGCCTCCACTGGCACTGGCTGCCCACCCCTCACCAGGGAATGGGGTTAACCAAGGTCCTGGCAGGCTCCCCAGCAGGGGCCTGATCACCAAAGGGGTCTCAGCTCCACTTCTCAGGAATGTTCTCTCCCCATGAGAACACAAGCTCCATCTCGTCTCCACCCCCGCTCCCACCCTGGCCCCAGCCTGGGACCCACAGAAGAGGTAGGGAGAGACCACCAAGGCTGGTGGGGAGACAAGGGTGCCTGCAGTTAGACACCGGCCTGGCGCCCGAGGGTGCTGCAGGCCTCCCCTTCCCTCTACTCCCCTCCCACCCGCCCCGCTGCCAGTGAGAGGCCATTTTGGAATGTTAATTGGAAACACCAGCCGCAGCGGCTCGCTCCCCTCCAGCACTGCCTCCCCTTTCTGCAGGGTCTGAGAAGGAAGGCTGGGGACCTGGGCACTACCCACGCCCTACCCCAAGCGCCTCCAAGAGGCCAGGATCGCTTTGGGGTCCAAGAGCCATGCCCGGATCCCAGACACTCCCAACCCCCCGTCAGCCCCGACCCTGGGTGACCTAAACAGAGCCAGGCACCCATGAAGAGTGGCCTCTCTGACCCTGGCCCAACAGGGACACATACATTGCAGCCTGCCCTTGGGCCCTGCCCCTTTCCGGGCTACCTCTCTCTCCCGGGGGGTAGGGGGATGGCGTTCCGCTATTGCCATCAACGAAGGGGGGAAGGAAATCTTTGGCAGGGAAAAGTTATTCCACCCACTCAAGTCGTGCAGAGAAAGGGGGCCCGCGACTGTCCAAGCCCACACCGTGGAGGACGGACTCCCGGGAAGGCTGACGCGGGCCAGGGGCGACGTGGCGCCGGCAGTGGGGCGGGGGTGGGGAGAGGAAATGATTCGCGACCGCAGGCAACCGGGAACCCCGAGAGCTGCCCCCGACCAGGGTGCGGGGGTCTCGGGCCCGCCCTTACCTTGGAGGTAGTAGGCCTGGCAGCCGTCGTCGCGTAGCTTTTGCAGGAGCAGGCCGAGCACTGAGGCTGGGGCGCCGGGCTCTGGCTGCCACTCGGCCGTGGCTTCGTCGTAGAGCAGCACGGTGGCCGCCTTGCAGCGCGAGGCGAAGCGCTCCTTGTCGGCGTGGTTGGGGATGATGGAGCGGATGGGCAGGTTGCCCTTGCGCAGGCGGCGCAGCATGAGGCCCGGGATGGCCAGGTTGATGGCCGTCTCGATGTGCGACGACTCGAAGAGCTCGTGCGGCCGGCAATCGAGCAGTAGCAGGGACGCGCCGCCGCGCGCCTCCAGCTCCTCCTGCAGCCACTCGGCGCTCTTGCAGGGCATGGCTCCCGCGGCCGTCGCCGCGCCCGCCCCGGTACCCGCGCCGGCCCCAGACCCCGCAGCGGGCTCCGACGCCGCCCGGGTGCTCCCAGCCACCGCCGCCGCCGCCGCCGCCGCCCCCGAAGCCGACATGTGCGCCCGCGCTGGGGGGCCGCGGAGCTGGTTTTTCATGAGTCGCGGTGGTGGTGTGTGTGTGTGTGGCGGGGGCAGCGCGGGCGGCCCGGGGCCGGGGCCGGGCACCTCGCCCTGGGACGGCGCCCCGGCCGCGCGGGCCACCCCCCGCCCGCAGCCGCGTCTCCGGGCGCCCGCCTCCCGCCGAGCTGTGCGCCCGCCACCCCGGCCTCCCGGCCCTCGGTCCCCACCCGGCCGGCCGGCCCTCCGCGCGCGCCGCGGCCTGACAGCCCCAATTAAACGGCGGCTCCCGCGGCCGCGCGCCCAGGCGTCCTCGGGGGGGCGGGGCCGGGGCCGGCGCTCGAGCTTAAAGGGGCCGCGCTCGGCCGCCCCTCCCTGCGGGGCACGCGGGCGCGCACCGGGCCCTCCGCCTGCCGCGGCGGACTCGCCTCGCCCCGCCCGGAGCTGCTCACGACCAGCCCGGATGCCCCGACACTCCTGGGGCTTGTGTCCACAGGGAGAGCTGCCTTGGGGCGTCTCTTACATCTGGCTCCCCCACCCCACGCTCACAGCCGAGTCTGTGACAACCTCTCTGTCCCCTCCTGCCTGTCACTCCTCATCCATTCGGCCTTTGATCGGGTTCGTTCAACACTTGGAAACTGAACGCCCACTGCGTGCCCCTTGCTATCCAAAGGCGGTTACCATTTCAGGCGACCGCGTTGTCCCTCACACGGCCACCGGCCCTGTCCCCTGGAGCAACACCCCAGTAGGGCTGAAGAGATTTGGGCGCGTGGCAGGTCAGGACTGCCCGGGGCCGCCGCGACCTTGCGCGGACAGGCATGAGGTACCCCAGGTAAAGAATCGAGCCTAGAAAGAGGAAGCGAGCCCTTTAAGAAAGCTTCACCAGTGGGGTGGTGACAGGCGGCGAGTGAAGCGCCACGTGACTTTTCGGCTGGAACGGGAGCGCGTCTTTATAATCTGCTTTCCTTCGCCTCCCTCTCTTTCCAGGCACCAATCGGTTTTTACGGTAGGCGGGCGCACACCGTATAGGCGACCAATCACAGCCAAAGCAGGCCGTAAGGGGTGGGGACAGGGGCGGGGCTTGTGGCGGGCCCCACCCCGTGCGGGAAGCGGGCGTGGCCTTGCCGGCTTGAGTGTCGGCTTGCGGGCGGGGCACCGGAGGTGAATGGATCCGCAGGTAGCGCTTGAACAAAGCGGCTCCTCTCTGACATCGCGCGTGCGCAGACGCTGCCGCGCGTTCCCCACCGAGCCCGGGCGGTGGGCCCCGGCCCTGCTGGCTGCCTGTTCCCTTCCCAGTCCCTGGCGAGCAGAGCCCGAGTGAGGACCCCGGGGCCCCGGATCTGAGCTCTCAGCTGGTTTCTGAGCAGACGCTGTTTGCACCTCGTGGCCTCCATTCTGGGCCGTGTCTCAGAAGGGCCAGGCTGTCTCACCCAGAGGCCGCAGAAGTGAGGCCAGAGGTGGATGCCCAGAGCGTGAATGAAGGAGCATCAACTCTCAGCACAGTCCCATGAGCAGTCCAACAACCTGAAGAGTGTCGGGGTCACAGATGTCCAGACCCAGACAGGCAGGTAGAGGCAGAGAGAGAGAAGGAATGTCCTTCTCAGACACTTTCTGAGCACCTGCCCTGGGCCAGGAGTGTGCAGGGTAAGTGGTCTGGGGGTCAGATGGCATCAGATCAGCTTGCCTTTCCTCTTGCAGCTGCCCAGCTGGTGGTAATAGGGCAGGCCTATGGCCAGCCTCTCCAAATGGAGTCCCTGTGGTCACTCATTTGCCAGGGGCAACCGCAAAGCCAGGCCACCAGGTATGGGAAACAGAGGATGTTTTTTCCTCAAATTCTTCCAAACCTTTGCCCCTGACAGATAATACTGGTCAATCAGCGCTATTTTTGCTCACTGAATTATCCTTTGGCCTCCAACCCAGGCAGGCATGAATGGTTGATTGTGGAAGGTGATTAAAAACCTACAGGTTAGGGCTCCAATTCACCACTGTTGCCTCTGCCCCCACCCCCTGATCTCCTCGGGCTCCCTACACAGGGGCCCCTCCTCTTCATACTTCCTCATTCCATCCCACAAACTCCCCCCACCCCCTGTGCCGGGGCCTCACCTCTGTGGGCCTCTTTCTCATCACTGGAATTCTGCAGGACAGTAAGCAAGACAAGGTGACCCCCTGGCCCCATCTGAAGGTCTCCCCGGCCTGAGTTCCCTAAAGAGAGCTGGAGTGGGCCAGGCGGCCTCAGGTCTGCCTGCTGCTGTCTTGGGATCACTGCCAGGCACTCCTTCCTCCCTCACTCTCCCACAGCCTCTCTCTGACTTCTTTGTTCTCAGTCACCCCAGGTTCCCTAGTGGGGTGTGCAGAGCAGAGCTGGTCTGACCGTTCTATGGATGGGAAAGCTGAGGCCCAGGAAGGGTAAGTGTTTGGCCCAAGGGCCTTGGTGCAGCCCCAGCCAGTGACTCACCCAGCGGGCCTGGCTTGAGTCATGATGGCCCAGGTGATGGGAAAGCAACACATCTGTCCACCCAGGGGAGCAGGTAAGAAGGTCTTGGGCACAAGGCCTCTTGGGGCTCCTAGCTAGGAGTGCCCACACAGACCCCCACACACTGGACTGCCTCATTGTGTTCCTTCCTCTGTCAGCCTGGAAAGACCTGCCAGCTCCCATGGGGAACTGAGACCCATGCTCTCGAGGCAGCTGTAGCAGGTGCTGCCCCAGTCTAGGGGTTCCCAGGCCACAGGAATGTTTCAGCTCTGGGGAGGCAGAGTGGAAGACACACATAGGGAGCAGCTACCAATGCCTTCTTGCTTCCCTGGTAAACAGGGCTCATCATCCCACGTGGATGAAGCTCCAGGACACTGCCTGGACCCCTCCTCCCTGGCCCTGGCCCCACCTCCACCCCACAGGGAGCAGCAAAGCAGTTTTTTGAGAATGTCAGTACCACCTGGTCTTCCCCTGCTCTAAAGCCACCTGCTGTCCCTGGCAGAGTCTAGCAGAGTTCTTCGCTCTATGGCCAGCAGGGCCCTCGGTGGTCTGGTTTTGCTTGTGTGGCCAGAGCTTCTTTCCCCGGTCTCCTACAGCCTCCCAGGCTCCCTTCCTCTCCCCTCCAACCCAGACCCTGATGCTGTCCAGCCTGCTCCCTCTGTGAGGCTGGATACATATTAGTGTCCATCTCTTCTTCCCCAGCTCTTCTCTGGTTACCCTTTCCCAAACCCATGCCTCCTCCAGGCCAGAGGCACCCAGAAAGTAGCAAGGCCGGGACTGGAACCTTAGCCTCCTTCGAGAACTTTCTGTGCTGTCAGCTATGAGAACATAATCCTATGACTGAAAGAAAGGTAGCTGGCTCTCTCTTACCTTGCCAGATGGTTCTGGAAGCTTTCATCTTCATTTCCTAACTTGAGCCTTAGCCTGCCATGCCCAGTAGCACTCAGTGAGAGTTCATGGGCCCTGGAGGCCCCTGCCCTCACTAGCTGGCAGGACCACATCCCTAGGCCTGTCTTCCCCCCTCCCAGGTACAGCTGCTTCCTTCATACAGGGCAGGGTGGTCCTGTGTCTCTGCTCCCCCATCTTGGGTCCCACATACTAGCAGCAGGAGGGACTGGTGGGGGAGAGGGCTCTGATGCAGCCAGATACCGTGGCACTGGGTCACCCCTAGAGCCAGGAGAGCAGGCACTCAGCTGCTGGGGAAAGCAGGTTGGCGGTATACCATATTCTTGGGGCTCAGCTGGGCTGGGTTTTCTGCCTAAATCTGTGCGTCCCTAACTGCAAAGTCCCCAGCATCCCTGCCCCTTCATTTACCTGACACTCCAGGGTCTATGGTTAGCACGCCCATGAGCACACCCGGAGCTTCGGGGGACAGAATCAAGGGAGTTCTGTCCACATGGGGACTGTGTCAGCCTTGGCCTCCCAACTGAAGCTTCTGATGCCCACTTGAGGCCTGGAGCCCCAAGGGGTTCAACGGGGGAGTAGGAGGCCTACTTATGCGGTTACAGTAAGGGTGGGGAGCAGGGACTGGCTGGGGTGCCCTGGCTGTATTTGTCAGATCAGCTGGTGGGTCTGTGATGGGAGGGCTGGCCACAGAAGGCTCCTGACGGACAAAGAAGCCAGTCCTGTGTTCTGAGGCTTGGGAAGGCGGAGGGCAAGAATTCCCAGGGCCCCTGGCGGGCGGATGTGCCAGGGGCCTGGGCTGGGTCCGCCTCGGGTGGGCAGGTCCCTCTGTAGCTGCTGGGCTTAATTGCCTTATTAGCATCCGCCTGCTGCCTGGGCCTGTCAGGTCCCCTCCCTGCCTGCCCACGCCGCCCTTTCAGGAATCCTTCCTATGAGGTGCTGACGGTGACAGTGACAGAGTTGAGGATGATTCTGGGGAGGTGGCCTGGGAACGAGCCGGCTTGGGCCAGGCACGGGATTGCTGGTTCGTGGCCTCAAGGCCCAGTCCCATCCCACCTGGGCTAGGCTGTGTTCACAGGCAGGCAGCACCAGGAAATCATCTGGGGGATCCCCTGGCTGGCCCAGCCCCACCCAGCCCTAAGCCAGGGCGGACTCCCTTCCTGGAGAGACAAGGGTCCTCAGGAGACAGGGGATGCAGTGAACTCTGTCTCTTGGGGTTCGGGGAGTGGGGAACAGTGTGTACAAGGGGGCTAGCTTTGCTGGGGACAGGCTAGGGGACATGCAGCAGGTCACATCAGACTGCTGTTTGGCGGGCAGGAGGCAGTAAGCCGTGGTGAGGGCCTGGCCCAGTTTTCTATGTGCCCGGGGAAGTGGGGTGAGGGCTTGGGAGAGACAAGATGGGAAGGCCTTTGGGTCACGGGCATGGGAGGGGACCTGGAAGCAGCTGTGCCAGGAGTGTGGGCAGAAGGGCTGTATTGACGGGGAGGGGATGGAAGACAAAGAAGCTCTTCTGAACCTGGTGCCAGTGGCTGCCCCATCCCAAGGCTGGCATGGCCATGGGATGGACACTCCCAATACTCTGGACCTGCCAGTGCAGATCCCGCAGTACAAGGAGGGCTCTGCCTGTCAGATGCATGCCTCTTTGTATGCCCAAGACACCCACCCACCTGCCCACAGGATGATGGAGGGAGCACTGGGGTCATCCCAGCTGCACGCTGGCCTCCTACACA